AGTTAACCGAATGAATATGGGTAAATTCGATTAAATATTACATTATTTGCCTGGGCAAAATGTAATTAAATATATAATAGAAAACAATCAGAAAACCAAATCCCATAAATTAAACTCTCGGCACAAAGCACTCTCGGCTTTGGCGATTAAACAAATATCAGAGAAAAAAAAGAGTGGTGATAGAACAAAAAATAATACAATTTTAAATCTGTCACTGGAATAGTTAATGCCATATTAGTTGTTCTGAGCTAATAAAGCGTAATTATCAACGCATTTATTTAATTAGCCGCACAAAGTGCACAAAACAAAGCCCCTCAATCAGTGGCGTCCTGCTTGTCCCTCTTCCCTTCGATATACTATGTATTTCTACAAATTGTGCGGCATTTATAATGACAATTTAATAGGCCCGTCAATCTGCAGCTGCTGTTTGTGCGTTAATTTAATTTAATCCCCCCTATCTAAGTGGAAACTCCAAAAGGCTTTAAGTCGATGGCAGTTGTCGTAAAGTATATATTTTAGGGCACCCATGCTACATAGTCCAGATATATATATACATATATATATATTCAATCGACCAAACTCATTATGCAGTCAACGAGATTATCGGTCGGAGACAGACGGACTGCGAATGGATTTGCCATTTGATTTAACAATAATGAACAAAATGCAATTAATTGAAAACTATTTTCATGCTGTCTCTGCTCTGCTCTGCTCTGTTTTTTCTTGTTTGTAATTACCTTTTGTGCATAATTGGTAGGCTTTAATGGGTTAACAAAATGCGATTAACCGAAATGCAATTGCGAAATGCAAATTTGTCGGAACGATGGGATATATGGATATATGCCCCTCCTAGTCTGGGGTTAATGACAGGTTTGGTAGGGCCGTACTTGCCCCATAATTCTCCATCAAAAATAGGAGCAATGTTCCACTTGTTGCCTGCTCCTGCCACGTCCCTGTCCTGTGACAGTTTACAAAGTGCTGCAATTAAGGCTGACAAAGTGCCCGGCTCCTGTGCGCCAAAAAGAGAGAACATTGTGAGAACACTCGAATGAATTTGTTAAGACATTTTCCTCCCCATGTATCTTGTATCTCGCATCTCGCATCTCGCATCTCGTATCCCGTATCTGTTGGATACGAATTAATCAAAGACTAAGTTAAATGCCAGGCATTTGCATTTCAGGCCGTTTCAACAAACAATTTGTCAGCCTTCGTAATGGACAGAGGCAAGTGTCACATTCGGATGTCTGTTAAAAATACATATTTTTTCCCCCCCACAACAAACTGAGCGCCGGGAAAACTATTTCGGTGACAAACGCCACTTTTATATTTCTTTCTCCTTGCCTGCACAGAAAATAATATAATGAATATTACCTAGAAACAAACCAGAATAAACTTGATTAATAGTAATTGGTGCAATGCAAAGACTCTAAGCTCATTGCAAATGAGTTAACCTTCCCTTTGGGTGCCATTTTCTTTCAGTGTCTTTTAGTAATTGGAGCTGTATTGGCCAGCCAGGGGTTATGGCTAAGTAAATTCTCATTGAGATGCCGCCCTCAGTTTCGCTTTCGCCAATCACATTTTTTGATATTTGTGTGACTTTGGCATTGACGTCTGCAGGGGCTGTCGATCGAAATAGACTTGGCCGCATAAATATCTCTCACGGTGGGCGGAAGGCCAGCATTTTGGGCCATTTTTGTTGTTGTTGTTGTTGTTGTTGTTGTGATTTTTGTCCAAGGAAATGCTCTCGGATCGGAATGTCTTTAAAATTCCCAATCGCCCGTTTAAATGCTGGCAAATGTCGGGCAATTAATTCTCGAATATAATAAAAAATAAAAAGAGATGCACGTAATGCTGTTGTGATTTATGAACGCGCGCCGCATGAAATTTTATAATTTGTTCAACGTAACGTGCATGGCCAAAATAAATATTTTCCGTTTGTTAAATTCATAAACAAAGCTCCAGAGAGAGGGGAGGAGAGATGGGGAGAGATCTACTGAAGCTGGACCGGGATGATGCGGGCTTCCCCACTTAACCCTATCCCCCCCCCCACATAATGCCAACTCAATCGCAATCTTTCAATGCGATGCGATACGGCGATGGGGGGTTTTTGTGGCTTTGGCCAAGAGGCGATGAAACCGAAAATTGTTTGCCAGTCACGTTTGTGGTGCAGAAGAAAAAAAGAAAAAGAGCAGTGGCTGTTGCCACTGGAGTCAAGTCTGCACTTCTCCATGGAAGATTTCGCGTCTGCTGTGGGCGTTTATTTTGAACGCACACTGGCACTGCGATGGTTATGTAATTGCGAGGCGTCAGATACGTGATTACTTTTAGTCAAATTGCTCGAAACTTCGCTCGAATCTTGAATATTGTGTAATTCCCAAGACTCCGCACATCACTTGCGATTTCGAATCGCTGCGAAAGTGTGCCACTAAAGAAAAATAAATAAATACATAAATAAAATGTTGGCCAGGCGAAAGTCATAAACTCGTTGGAGATCTGCTGGCAAAAGTTAAGGTCAGGGTTGCGGATCGAAGTGGATTTTAAGTAGAAGCCATTAAAAGTTTACTATGGGAAATTAATTCCAAGAACATCAAATAAACAAATTAACTTAATACTGTTACTTAATAGCTGTTATTTATGGCATTGAATAAGGAAATATGCTTATAGATCATTAAATGAGAAGAATATAGGTAAAGTTCTGTGAGATTGTATTTATAAATCCTATAATCCTGCTAAATCTAGAAGTACTATACCCTATTCTTAAATATATAATATAATTCGATAACATCTCTTATTAATTAAAGCATCCCAAACATTCGATGCATCACCAATTCGAGATCAATCAAAATGAGGTCATCCCTCTTAACTGACTGTACAGTTCATGCCCCCAAGAACACACACTTCTTCCCCTCAACAAAGTCTGTAAAATGTTCTTTTGCGACATTCAAACCCTGAAGATTGATACAAAAAGATACAAAAAAAAAAAAAAAAAACTGCTCGCCTTAGCAAAAGGGGGGCGAAAGAGAACGCAATCTACCATGACAGTTCACGAAGGTTAAATTCTTGAGAAATGATTTTCACAGAGACAGAGAGAGAACTGCAAATTGCAAACTACAAGCTAAAGAAAAAAAGGGAAACAGAGCCATGCGAATGCAAGAGAGCGCACTAATTAAAATATACGCAAAAGCTGTTTGAAATTTTTAGAGCATGTCTCCCCTGTTTCTGGTACTCCTTAGGCCCCTCAAATTGTTGCACGAATCCGAGTCAAGTGAAGTCGAAAGCCATGAAATATTGTCACGCACCCGAGGAATACGGAATATAGGAAAATAGGATGTAAACGGAGAAGTGCCATTCTAATGAGCTCTGCAACATTTCCTCGACGGCCTTAATTTACGATCCCCAATGGAGGTGGAGGAGGAAAACTGCAAGTATTTTAGTTGCAGAGAGAGAAAAATTTACAAGAAAGTATAGTTCTACAAAGAAGAATGATCTAATTACTTGTCCTTATTAAATTCCCTTTGAATTTAAAACGAATATCTAGGAAATCATTATGAAAACTTAAGTATTTAGTTTGTGTTTACTTTAATCCCACAACATCAGTATACGATGACGTCTTCTAGCAAATATTATTATTTTTCTCGAGTGTTTTGCTTCGTTGGGTAATTAATTTCGCTTTTTTTAGATAGATAAACCGGAAGTGTAAACAAAGACGTTTCATTCATTAGTAAATTAACCATTACCTCAGCCATAGTTTATAGAACTATAATCTTATCTTGGACTGATTCATGGGTGTTGTGCGTGTGTGTACAGATTGATTCGCTTGAAGTATCGATTGCTTTACAGCTATTATTGGGAGGTGACCAGCCGTAACTTGACCGGAAGATAAGAACTGTGAAATGATTAATGGTCGGGGGGTTCAGTGACCTTCTTTCTACCAAACTAAAGTGGATAATCGGGGGGAAGAACAGGAGCGACGGGCGGGTATCAACAAGTTTTTGGCCATGGCTAAATTACATCACAGCCGAACTGCTGGTGGTCGGTGTTATTTGCTGGTTTGGATTGGAAATGGCAAATGGACATGGAAGTGGAGAGCAACCACTGCGTATACGCAATGCCACAGAGAGGGAGCGAGAGTGTATAGACGCTGAAAATAGATCAAGCGAAAAGGAAAACCAAAGAGCAGCCAAGAAAATCGCGAAAAATTGCCGAGATAGCAGCATGAAAGAGCTGGCTTCATTAAATATGCGAGATATGGCCAAGTCGGCGACAATATATATGGCTCAAAATCAAATTGTTTCAAAATGTCTCAGAAACCGTGGCGCCAAAAACCGCGGCAATTTGAGCATTTTGAAGGAGGCGAAGAGCACAGGAGGCTGCGGCTGCGGCTGCTGCACAGGTCTCTGTGGCGGCCAACATCCGCAACACTTTCGCAATTCTGTGTATCTGTGTATCTAGCAGATATTGTATCTGCCGACTTCTGGCGCTGACTGACTGACTGAGCGAGAATATTCGGAAACAAATCCAATCCGCCAAGCAGCCATTTCGTGGCGCTATAAATAAACTCACCTTGAAAAGTTTCTAAAAATTTTCTTTTCGCTTTTTGACTATATAATTTTATTCAATTTCAACGAGCCGAAGATCTACGACGTATATCTGCTGTTCTCTGTGTATATCTCTGGCCAAAACTGATATATGCGTCAACTGAAATTCCCCTCCTGGATACGTTTTGTACACTCGCCACGGTGTGCCAAGAAAATTATTTTGCAATTGAATACATTTGTTTCGTAAGGGATTTTTACTGGTTGTTGTTGTTATTGTTAACCTTCACGAAATTCACACGATATATATATGGTCGAAATATATATATTTATAGGAAGGGACAGGGAAAATTGATGATTGGTACACTGATTCATCAGTGATCCCTTTGGCTATTGTATAACCTGATATATATAAAGTATGTAATATGCACACTTGTTGTTAACTGTGAGAAGGGGGGTACTGACCGATTTATTCCGATCGGATGGCTTAACTTGATTTCGATTCGATTCCGGATCGGACTTAGATATTTGGATTTGGATCTGGACTTGGTCTCGTATATTCGGGGGGCGTTTATTTGCGCTGCACTGGCCAGATGGTGATCAGTTCTTGGGCGACGTTAACTAAGCGACGATTTTCTCTCAACTAAAGCAAAAACCGAAACACAAAATTTTTATGTGCATTTTGTGCCGTTTTCGAATACAAAAATCTTTTCAACCACATCGCCGTCGCTGTCGGCGTCGCTGCTTTTGGGCCGTGCGAGAGATGAGGCTACTATATGGCTATATGGCGGCTATATAGACATTCAGAGTCGGTTCTCAATTCCGAAAAGCTACAAAGCTACAAAACGCCAGACGACGACGACGACGACTACGGCGGCTGCCCATGTCTGTCTGTCTCTATGTCTATCTGGCTTTTGTTGCTGCCGCTTTTCTTTTTGTTGTTCCCAGTGCGATTCAGTTTGGTTCGGGATATATATTTTGCTATTTGGCTAATTGTTTGTATTTTGTTTTCATCCGCAAGCTTTTAACGGCACACAGCTAAATGTCGAGGTGCAAGAGGCAAAAGAAAAGTACGTTTCGGTACTGTAATTTCACGTAATTTGATAACTTGAGAAATCTATGTAATATATTATATGTTACTTTAAATAAGTATTTAGGTTTCTAATGGTCTTTGATTTGTTTTTCTGTATTATTTCTTTAAATTCTTAACATTATTAATTAAAAGGTTTATCAGCTTTTCAAGCATCTAAGATCTATGAAGTATCTTTCTTTTTGGCAAAATTAGATAAGAAGGGGTATCTCTAGAAAAAAGGGAAAATAAATGTATTTCGCTTACATGATAAACACATTAAAGATAACTTCACTCATTCTATAAATTATAAAAGAACTAACATAGAAGTTCATATTAAAGTGAATTCTTAGAGGAAAAAAGTATAAATATCATAAAAATAAGAAAGAAAGCTAACTGTAAAGCTAATATTTATGAATGTGTCACTAAATAAACTTAAAATATGTGCATTAAAGGGTCCTTAAATTAAAATTTTTATATTGAAAATTTGTATATAAATTAAAATTTAAAAATATCATAACTAGGCCAAAAGAGCATCAATTTTAATTCGGAAAAGAGTTTTATGTTAGTTTTTATGAGTTTAACAAATCTGCATACCCAATTAAAAATGAAAATTTTTTTACTTTTTTTCTAATTTTTTTTTTACAAATTCATCAATATAAAATAATAAAAAAAAAAATCAAAAAAATTTTTTCTTTCGGAGATGGCTAGATCGACTTGGCTTTTGATGCTGATCAAGAATATATATGATTTATAGGGTCGGAAATGACTCCTTCACTCAATTATACACTTCTAACTGCTTCTAACTGAAATGCAAGGGTAGAAAACTAAACAATTGTAAATCTATAAAAATTCTTAGTTAAAAGTTATATTGAAGGTTTTTAAAACATAAATTCTTGTTTTTATGCGCATGAAACGCATCTTCCTTTACGTCTCTTTGAAGTTGAGAACAACTGCAGGTGCTTTCGGCTGTTTTCGCTACTCAGTTTCGGCCGTTGGACTATTTCCCGTGATCTGATTTCCCTCTGACACACAACAACAATAAACACTGGGTATTCCATAATGGGAACAACTATGTTACCCCGGGGATGTGTCTGTTGTGGAATTCGGGTCACCCCACCGAAGATCCTGAGTGCGTGAATCAGCGGTGACTCCATCGGAGCGATGATCTATTGGTTCCATTATACATTTCCCAATAATCGATTAATCATTCCACCGGGGTCACCCTTTTGGGAAGATGTTTCCATCTTCCGCTTTGGGCATTTTTAGAGATCGAAGGTCGCTATAGGACCTGTGGTCTCCAATGAAATTTCAAAAATTTCAATTTCGTTTGCCCGTAAAGTGAGCCATAAAACATGAACATGTTAAAATGTTGCCATGGCTTACAAAAATATACACAACTATATATTGTATTATTTTTTTTTGCGACTGCTGCCGCTGCGTTGATGTGCTCAATCAAGCAGCGAGATGAAACGAATCGAATCGAGGCAAACAGTCCACAAAAAAATAATGCACGGAAAGCACGGCTGACTATGCGGATAAATATGTATAATATAATATAGTATTTTGGATGTTTTATACGGGGCATAAAAAGCTCAGGCGAGTTAAACAAGAATGGCAAACAAGTAAACAAATAATAATAAACTTCGCTCCCTCGACAAAAAACAATTTCGGCTTTTTAATTAAATCATGTTCAGTGGGTAAAAATAGTATTAAAGAATCTCGCGCTGTGCGCAATTCAATCAAATCACTAAAAATAAATAAAAGAAGGCAACAAAAATAATTAATAACAGACAGAGACAAGCTCTCACGGTCGAGCGTTTGAGCCGATAAAGGTCCGGAACAACCGCGATATGGGCGTAATTAAGTTTAAAGACCGCATTTCGGTGATCTTACGATGACAACAACGGTTAGTTACACAACCATCTTGCGGTTAACACTTTTGCTTTTCGGTGCGAATGTGGTTTTATTAAGGGGCTAATTGCTCATATATACGTATATATATTGTATATCTCTTTAATTTTTTGGGGGGATGCTGAGTCAACGTTTTGGTCCATGATTCACACAGGGCTCGAAACCGGCTTTTGGGCCGTTTTAAAAAATATATTTGTATATATTTTCCTTTTGCCATTATTTATTTTGGCCAAGACAACAACACTTACACTTCACTTGCACTTGTACTGGGAGTTGTATTTTTCTTTGTTGAATTTCGATTACTTTTTAGTTCTTGGTTCTTGAATTCTTCGCTTCTTGAATTCTTCGTTTTGTTGTATTCTTTGTATCTTGTATCTTTCTGCTGAGACAACCGCGCGCGTTCGTTGCGTTCGAGCGAATGAGGGCTGCGATCGCGACGGCTTGTTGGATGGAGTCGCACTCGGGACGTCGCACACACAGATACACACCCACACACACACACTTGCGCCACTTGCTCTCACTCTCTCACTGTCTCCTTCTCTCTCGCACTCTCTCGTGCAGCAGCGGGAAAGCAACAGGTAAGCAAACTGCCGAAAGGTGTGTGCACATGTATCTGTATCTACGTATCTACGTATCTGCGTATCTGCGAGTGCCCGCTCGAGAGCGTGTGCTGCTGATAAGATAAGCGCGCCGAAAAAGCGCTACGCAAACATAAACAAACACCAGGCAGCGGCGGAAAACTCCTACGATTTTCCTTTGGTCGTGATAATGACCACATAGAGAAACGTGAATCAATAATTTGGCCACGACCGCTGTCCGGCTAATTTGCCGCAAATCGAGCTGTTTTCGCTGTTGGTGCAAAATCTATATTTAGGTTGTTGCATGCCACTGCCACAGCACTGCGAAACTGGTTCCTCCAGTTTCCTGATAATCTGGGTGACGGCTACACAACCCAAAACAACACACAACACCCCGGATTCTGGCCTGGGCCAAAAGCTCCGCTGCCTGCGAGATTTTCCTTTTTAGCGCCAAAATACAAATTCAAAGGATCTTTAAAGGTGGCTTGTTATAGACCCTTTATGTTTGATTTATGATAAATTATTCGAGTATATTATATAACTATACTCTATTTTCTTAAATCGATTAGGGTATTTTGATTTTAGAAACATTATCAGTAGTATATTTAATTTAATTTATAATATTTAGTAATACAGAACATGTAGGATATATTTTAGAATTTACAACAAATGGATTTATTTTATATGATTTATGATTTAGAACTCATTGGTTTTTTAGCATTCTATACCATAATCTTATTTATTGGTTTTTGAAAGAGAAGACAAAAATGTTTCAAGTCAAGATTGCGACAGCAAATCATGCATGTTGTTCGACGCACATGAAAATCATTTGTAATGCAATCAATTAAGAAATTCTAGTTAACAATTATAACCCTTTTGAAAGGGTAAACCAAAACCAAGTGCAGTTTCACCCAAAAACATAAAAAAAAACGACAACCAAAAGCCCAAAAGCGATCAAACTGCGCAGTTGGCCAAAACCGGTTGCCGCCTTGCAGATCGCCTGCTGCGGGCCCTTTGCAGTGATATTGACCAAGAGCTCGACACGATGGCGATCCGGGCCAAGAGCCGACGCAGAGCGAGGCGAGAAGAACAAACAGAAACCAAAAGTGCTTCAGCCCCACGAATTTGGCTAATGCGAGCGAAAGCGGCAGTAAATCATTTAGCAACTATTCTGTTTTTCTTTTCCCCCCGGAGCCTGAATCAAGAGGGCCAAGAACAGAAGCCAGGCATCTGGAAAATGTCACGCATGCGTTGTCGGCGTTGTTGTTGGATGTGCCGCGGCGGCGGCATGTGTCCAGTACAGACACACTGGACTTTACGATTTAATAAGCGGGCAAATAGAGAAATTTCCCGGGAATAATTAAGTACAATTGTTGTCTCAAAGAAAAGGGATGACAAGTACCCATTAAATAAATAAAGCTCAATAATTTAATAAGTTCTTTCTTAACAAAATCAAAATCAAACAAATATTTTGTGGTATGAATTACTAAGCCACAGTGGCGCCTCAACTTGCGGTCTATCGACGGCATTTTTCAGAACTACATATTTGAAAATTTGTTGTTATCTGTTTTCCGTAATGTAAGTAAAAAACATGTGTATAAAATGTTTTGTGTAGAAATATCTAGTTTTATTACCTTTTGAATCGGTATCTAAAAGTATGTTACCAAAGGTTATATAATATTATTATTATTCTTTAATAGTGTTTTGAATCCATTGACGGTAATAGGTAACATCTGTAAAAACACTCACGTTATCATAGCTCTTAATACGTATGGCAGATGTAAAGTGTATATAATTGTCACCAATTTTTCCAATTGTACCCACTCCGCCTCCTGGCAATCGGAATAAGTTATTATTAGACCGATTTGTGCAGAATTGACGACTTTCCACTTTCCTTTCAATTGATCTTTCGCAAACATAAGGATCAATACGCTGTACGGGCTCCTGAGAATGTATTCCACCTGTACTAACGACAAGACTCAAGCCCTTTTGAGGCTCAGAATTTGATCCTAAGCAAAGCGCTCCTATAGGGTCTGCAAAAGATAGGATATTATAAATCAAAGAATGTTTTCTCATCTAATAAAACTTACCTGTGAATAGAACCCTTTCTGTAAGTCTGATCAAAGCTATATCGTTAACAAATGATTGAGAAACTGCTTTGAACTCAGGATGCCTGACAATTGATTCCACAAAAATTGTCTGCTTATTGACTATCAATTTTCTGCATCGAAAACATACAAATTTAACAACCAACATGAAAAAGTATAAACTATACTTACAAGCTGGATGGAGAATGATTGCTCAAGGCACTGGCAGCTGTTATGACATATCCTTATGTGTAAAAATAAGAAATTGCATCAGTTAGGCATTTAGTTTGATAATAATAATATACGACTTACGGTCTGTTTCAAATGCTCCCAGAGAAGAGCATGCTCCCGTGATTCATATACCCTCCAGGGTTCCTTCGGAATTTTTAAGCCTTCAAAACGGACTTCAAAGCAACCTTCATATGAGAGACTGTTCCATCCACCAACAGAATTCCCCAAATTATAATTAGCTTCGTTATCTTGTTTGGTTTCATTCCGTGTATTCGATGTAATCCAGTACTGGTAGCTTGCAACGTTCGTGTAAATTCCAGAAGCATTGCACATCCTAGTAAATATTTTTTTACTGAATTCAACTCCTGGAGTCTTAATTAATGCACACTCTTCATCCAGAAAGCGTGACGATCCCTTGACCCAGAGCAGCAAATCGAACAGAGCAATTGAAAGCAAAACGCACTTTATTTCCACAGAGAAGACGTCGGATTACTGAGTAAGATCGACAGCATTATCTGTCCTTTAAGCTCGTCGGATTATCTTTACACATTTTCAAATTACACATAAACAAAATCTATGTAAAGTCAATCTGAAATGCTATAAAATTTCAAAGTAACTATATATATATATAAATAAACATACAATTACCACAATTTGTCATATTTTTTAGGACGTTTACCATAGGTTTCTTCACTTTTTAAATTGACATTAATCTTATATTTTTTTCTACGAGTATACTGTGCTGTATTGTGCTATAGATCATGCATAATTCTTAAAACTGATAAGCTCAAATACTTGGAATATAAAAACATCATGGAGTACTTTCCTATCAGAGAACTGCATTAAGTATGATCGGTCCGGTTTGATCAGCAACAAACAAAACGATCAAAACTTAACACAACGGTTCGTTACAACATTTTCGGTCAAGCTTCGGGCACAATACAAACAAGTTCGTTCAGTTGACTTGATTTGTTCTGCTGGCTGATTCAAACAGCTTGTTTGACCAAAATGAATGATGTGATCGGCCTGAATGCAAGGAGCAGTCTCGAACATTCTTTGCAATTCACAAAAAACGTTTGATCAAAAGCAATCATTCCGCAACCGCGGAAGAGTGATCGAAACTGAATATTCGCTTCGAACATGCTCCCTTACGATCATACAATTTTGTTGATGCAAAGTTTTGCGTCACAAAAATCCGAGTCAATGATCGGGTATGATCGTAAAAATTTTGATCGTTGCAGTTCTCTGTTTCCTAGCTTCCTTTAGCTAATCATTAAAGGTTTATCTTAATCTGGCAATCGTTTAAATAATTTATTTCTTTATTTATATTTTTATTTCGACAAATGAAATACGTTTAAGCACTCTGTTATCACATTTAATAATTCGCATTAATCATCGTCGATTCTTCAAAATACTTTTATATACATACAAAGGTCGTAAAAAGTATTTACACTTCGACCATTTTCATAGCCAAATTTCTTGTAGTTCTTATTTTTGTTGTTCTTGACCGTTTTCCCTGGATTTTTTTCTTTGCTTAGATCGACCTATGCAGAAGCGAGCAATTCTTAAACCTTTTACACGGATTACAAAGCAACCTGAGTGACGTTTCCTTCCACCAACAGAATTTTCCAAATTATAATTAGCTTCGGTATCTTGTTTGGTTTCATTCCGTGTATTCGATGTAATCCAGTCGTGGTAGCTTGCAACGTTCGTGTAAATTCCAGAAGCATTGCACATCCTTGTACCATAACTAACCATCCCCACCTGGACGTACCGATCCCCCACGATGGTGGCCAGCGGTCCTCCGGAATCACCTCGGCAGGTGTCTCCCATTGCGCTCCCTGCGCAGATTTGTTTTTCGGTTATTGGAAGCATATAGCCATAGTGGCACTCCTCAGAGACACGGCGAAACAAGGAGACTGTCCTCAATATCTGGCTTTGTCGTCCAGTCTGCGTTTCACCCCAGCCAAAGGCGGTAAATAAAGTGATATTCTTTACATTTATCGAGTTATCCATAATGAGGCAGATCGGACGGATATGGTCTACAGTGCATTAATGATATTACATTAGTTTAAAAGAAAGGGAACCAAATCTATCCTAATATATAATATAACTTACCTGTGTACTGCACTTCACCTTCTAGTTTCAGCAAGCCAATATCATTCGAATATTGATTTGGATTAAATTCGGCATGTATAAAGGCACGGTTTATATTGTAGATTTCCACATCTCTGCAGCTTTGTCTAGTACATGATATATCGTACATTCCCAGTTTTACGAGCCTTAAACGAGATCGATAGTTATAGCTTTAATCTAACTAGACTTTCCAGTGACATAAATATGATACTTACAATTGATTCTGACCATCTATACAGTGTGCGGCTGTCAAGACAAAGTCTGAAAGTGGCAAAAGTTAGCTTAGAATATTCTTTATATATGAATAATAAAAAAAGCTACGAATAATCACTTTTTGTTATCAATGTGCCACCGCATAGGAATTCGTACTGATTGCTTACGGCGGCCATCCAAGGAGTGGTGCCTGGTTGAGCCCGATTACCGCTGTGTATCCTGAACTCAACTCCTGGAGTCTTAATTAATGCACACTCTTCATCCAGAAAGCGTGACGATCCCTTGACCCAGAGCAGCAGATCGAACAGAGCAATTGAAAGCAAAACGCACTTCATTTCCACAGAGAAGACGTCGGATTACTGAGTTAGATCGACAGCATTATCTGTCCTTTAAGCTCGTCGGATTATCTTTACACATTTTCAAATTACACTTAAACAAAATCTATGTAAAGTCAATCTGAAATGCTATAAAATTTCAGTATAAAACAAATTACAAATATTTGTTATTCTCAATGCTATTATTTTCATGTATTTTTCAATTCTTCAAAAGCACATACAATTACTACAATTTGTCATATTTTTAAGACGTTTACCATGGGTTTTTTAGTTTTTAAAATGATTATATATATAACTATACTTCATTTAGCAACATAGATTAGGTGATCATTGTAATGCAATCAATTAAGAAATGCTAGTTATATAAATAATCCCTATTTAAAAACCCTTTTAAAAGGGTAAACCTAAACCAAGTGCAGTTCCACCCAAAAACATAAAAAAACAAGAAAGGAAACTAACTTTGGCACGCCGAACTTTATATACCTTTGCAGACAGAACTTTCATGACTAGGAATCAATACAATATAATAAATTATATATATTTATGTTAAAAATGTTTAAAATAATGAAGTAATACCTGCTTTCATTTCGTTCACATATACATATTATATTTACAGTTTTACATTCACATATTTGCATTTTTCTTTTATATCTAACGATCTTTCCTATGGGAGCTATATGATAAAGTAGAGCGATTTTTATAAATTTTTACACAAAATTTTAGAATAATATGAAATGGCTATAACTTAAATATTATCAAATTCTGTTTAAATCTGAAAAAGTTAAAATTTTTAATTGTATTATTTTTTCGATCGAACCTATGAAAGCTATGATATAGTAGTCCGATCCGGCCCGTTCCGACATATATACGAGTGAGAGTATATAGAAGGATAACTGCAAAGTTTTATTCAGTTAGCTTCAAACCTGAGAGACTAGTTTCATAGAGACGGACAGACGGGAAGAAGAACAGACGGACATGGCTAGATCGACTCGGCTGTTGATCCTGATCAAGAATATATATACTTTATATGGTCGGAGGTGCCTCCTTCACGGCGTTGCAAACTTCTGACTGATATTATAATACCCTGCAAGGGTATAAAGACAACGATCAAAAGCCCAAAGCGGTCAAACTGCGCAGTTGGCCAAAACCGGTTGCCGCCTTTCAGATCGCCTGCTGGGGGCCTTTGCAGTGATATTGCCAAGAGCCGACGCAGAGCGAGGCGAGAAGAACAAACAGAAACCAAAAGTGCTTCAGCCCCACGAATTTGGCTAATGCGCGCGAAAGCGGCGCCTGAATCAAGAGGCCCAAGAACAGAAGCCAGGCATCTGGAAAATGTCACGCATGCGTTGTCGTTGAGGATGTGCCCACTCAGTAATCCAGTGCAGACACACTTGGTTTTACGATTTAGTAAGCTGGCAAATAGAGAAATTTCCCGGGAATAATTAAATACAAATATTGTCACAAATAAGAGGGATGTTATAATTAACCATGAAGATAACAAAGCTCAATACTTTAATACTTTTCTTTCTTAACAAAATCAATATCAAACAAATATTTTGTGGTATGAATTACTTAGCCACAGTGGCGCCTCAACTTGCGGTCTATCGACGGCATTTTTCAGAACCACATATTTGAAATTTTTTGTTATCGATTTCCCATAATGTAAGTAAAAAACATGTGAATAAAAAGTTTTCTGTAGAAATATCTTTTTCATTTTTTTTTTAAATTTAAATTATATTTATTTTCGCCGGAATCGTTCAGAGCCATTAGAACTTTACCGGACGTTTAGGATATGGGAAGGAAAATTTGGTACATATGGGATATAGGCCTGGATTAAAAATAAATAACTGGTTTTATTACCTTTTGAATCGGTACCCAAAAGTATGCAACAAAAGGTGATACATTAAAATAATTTTTTATTATTCTTTTAATAAATAGTGTTTCGAATCCATTCAAGGTAATAGGTAACATCTGTAAAAACACTCACGTTATCATTTCTGTTAATAAGTATGCCAGATACAAAGTATTTATAAGTGTCACCAATTTTTCCAATTGTACCCACTAATTCTCCCTGCATTCGTAAGAAATTATTGACAGGCCGATTTGTGCAGAATTGATGACTTTCCACTTGCTTTCCAATTGATCTTTCGCAAACATAAGGATCAATACGATGTATCGGCTCCTGAGAAAGTATTCCACCTGCACTGAAGACGAGAGTCAAGCCCTTTTGAGGCTTCAAATTTGGTCCTAAGCAGATCGGTCTAACAGAGTCTACAAAAGAGAAAGGATATTATAAATCAAAGAATGTTTTCTCATCTAATAAAACTTACCTGTGAATAGAACCCTTTCTGTAAGTCTGATCAAAGCTATATCGTTAACAAATGATTGAGAAACTGCTTTGAACTCAGGATGCCTGACAATTGATTCCACAAAAAATGTCTGCTTATTGACTATAAATTTTCTGCATCGAAAACATACAAATTTAACAACCAAGATGAAAAAGTATAAACTATACTTACAAGCTGGATGGAGAATGATTGCTCAAGGCACTGGCAGCTGTCATGACATATCCTTATGTGTAAAAATAAGAAAAGGCATCAGTTATGCATAATGTTTGCTAGTATAATAATATATGATAATAATAATATATGATAATAATAATATATGACTTACGGTCTGTGACGAGTGCGCCAGAGAAGATATACCGTGCATCATATACCCTCCAGGGTTCCTTCGCAATTCTTAAATTTTCAAAACGGATTTCAAAGCAACCTTCATATGAGAGACTGTTCCATCCACCAACAGAATTTCCCAAGTTATAATTAGCTTCGTTATCTTGTTTGGTTTCATTCCGTGTATTCGATGTAATCCAGTCCTGGTAGCTTGCAACGTTCGTGTAAATTCCAGAAGCATTGCACATCCTTATACCATAACTAACCATCCCCACCTGGACGTACCGATCCCCCACGATGGTGGCCAGCGGTCCTCCGGAATCACCTCGACAGGTGTCACCCATTGCGCTCCCTGCGCAGATTTGTTTTTCGGTTATTGGAAGCATATAGCCATAGTGGCACTCCTCAGAGACGCGGCGAAACAAGGAGACTGTCCTCAATATCTGGCTTTGTCGTCCAGTCTGCGTTTCACCCCAGCCAAAGGCGGTAAATCCAGTGATATTCTTTACATTTATCGAGTTATCCATAATGAGGCAGATCGGACGGATATGGTCTACAGTGCATTAATGATATTACATTAGTTTAAAATAAGGGGAACCAAATCTATACTAATTTATTTAGTTTCCCAAAAATATAACTTACCTTTGTACTGCACTTCACCTTCTAGTTTCAGCAAGCCAATATCATTCGAATATTGATTTGGATTAAATTCGGCATGTATAAAGGCACGGTTTATATTGTAGATTTCCACATCGCTGCAGCTTTGTCTAGTACATGATCTATCGTAGATTCCCAGTTTCACGAACCTTAATCCATATAGTTATAGCTTTGATCTAACTAGACTTTCTAGTGACATACTTACAATTGATTCTGACCATCTATACAGTGTGCGGCTGTCAAGACAAAGTCTGAAAGTGGCAAAAGTTAGCTTAGAATATTCTTTATATATGAATAATAAAAAAAGCTACGAATAATCACTTTTTGTTATCAATGTGCCACCGCATAAGAATTCGTACTGATTGCTTACGGCGGCCATCCAAGGAGTGGTGCCTGGTTGAGCCCGATTACCGCTGTGTATCCTGAACTCAACTCCTGGAGTCTTAATTAATGCACACTCTTCATCCAGAAAGCGTGACGATCCGTTGACCCAGAGCAGCAGATCGAACAGAGCAATTGAAAGCAAAACGCACTTCATTTCCACAGAGAAGACGTCGGATTACTGAGTTAGATCGACAGCATTATCTGTCCTTTAAGCTCGTCGGATTATCTTTACACATTTTCAAATTACACATAAACAAAATCTATGTAAAGTCAATCTGAAATGCTATAAAATTTCAATATAACTATATATATATATATATAAATAAACATACAATTACCACAATTTGTCATATTTTTTTAGGACGTTTACCATAGGTTTCTTCACTTTTTAAATTGACATTAATCTTATATTTTTTTCTACGTGTATACTGTGGTGTATTGTGCTATAGATCATGCATAATTCTTAAAACTGATAAGCTCAAATACTTGGAATATAAAAACATCACGGAGTACTTTCCTAGCTTCCTTTAGCTAATTATTTAAGGTTTATCTTAATGTGGCAATCGTTTATATAATTTGTTTCTTTATTTATATTTTTATTTCGACAAATGAAATTCGTTTAAGCTTGCTGTCATTCCAGCACTCTCTTATCACATTTAATAATACGCATTAATCATCGTCGATTCTGCGAAATACTTTTATATACATACAAAGGTAGTCAAAAGTATTTACACTTCGACCATTTTCATAGCCAAATTTTTTTTAGTTTTTATTCTTGTTGTTGTTTTTGACCGTTTTCCCTGAAATTTTCTTCATTGCGTAGATTGATCTATGCAGAAGCGAGATAAATAATTTTTTTTTGTGACAGTCTCATAAGTTACTTTATTAATAGTTAAAAAAAATTTGCTTAGGTATCAATGAAGGCTTTCAATTGGTTGGAATGGAGTTTATTAAGCTATATCCACTATATTTCTGTCGAAGATAAGTCCTTCTCTATCAGAGATAGCTTGAATGTCGAACGGCAATGGTGTAGTTCTGTCGAAGATAGGTTCTTCTCTGTCAGAGATAGCTCTTTCTCTGCCTGAGATAACTCTTTTTCTGTCACTGATAGGTCTTTTTCTGTCAAAGATATGCCTTATTGGATAACTCTTTCTCTGTCAGAAATAACTCTTTCTCTGATCCACTCTGAATAGCTCAAGACATCAGTATAGACCGACCAAGCGTGGTGATCGCTCTGCCCAAAGCTGGCCATTCCAACGAGAGTGTATGCCTGGGCATTCCCATGAGCGAATTGCCTAACCAAGGGACTGCCGCTGGTCAAGATGATTGATTCGTTGTTCCGGAAGCACATTTGCTTATTTCCTAATTTTTGATAGTCCCCATTGTAGCAATTTGTGGAGTTAAGCCGCTGGACAAGCGCCGAAGATCCCACGGCCGAGCCAATGACCCTGAGGTTCTCTGCCTTGGCAGCCTTTTCCCGAAACAAGGTCGTCTCATTCAGAAAAGGCATGCAAATTGGTCTGATGTGATCTGAAGATAGATAAGAATTAAGTCTTATTGAACAAGAAAAAATAAGTTAACAAGACTCACCAGTATATTGCACTTTCATTGACAATTTCAGCAGGGCAATATCGTTCACGGACAATGAAACGAAATCAGGATGTCTGATCACAGATTCAACTGGGATGATAAACTCAGTGCCTTTACTGTTCCGGCCTAAGTGCACATTTCTGTGGTTTTAGTGTAATCAAATGAATTAATAAACTTAGTAATTGATTTAAGCGTACTTACAGTGGAACGCCTGCAGTATAAAAATGGGCAGTTGAGATGACAAATCCTGGAAGACAGACATACATATGTACGTTTCAAAAGGGGCCTTATTAAAAATGCAATAACAAATACAAACTATCGGTGATGAGAGTTCCCAAGGTGAGAGGGTAGGAATCGATATAAACGTGTGCCAACCATGGATATTGAGAAGTCGTCCCTGATTTTTTGCCGGTGTAATCGCTAATGCAATTTCTATCCAGAAGGTCTATCTTCGGTATTATAACCTCAATGTCGGATTCGAATACGATTTTCTCAATCCATTCGACATAGCTCATGACATCCGTGTATACGCCCACTCCCTGGCACAGTTTGGTGCCGTAGTTAATGATTCCCAATTGCGTTTGTCGTCTGACGCCTGCGTATCTGCCGATGGTGTACAAGGGGCCACCAGAGTCTCCACCGCAGGTATCTGCTCCATTTGAGGAGCCGGCACAGAACTGTGAGGTACTGTTGTTGTTCCAAAAGTAGTCATCACACCTGCTCCTTGGAAGCCTATCAAGGGTGACGGTCTGGAGCACATTACTTGTATCCTGGGTCCTTGTTTTTCCCCAGCCAACGGCTGTGAACTTATGAATGGTATTATCCATGTTTGATTTCCTTCTTGGATCCAACTGAATGCATATGGGTTGAATATGACCGTTGTAGGACACGGATCGGGCTAGTCTCAGCAGAGCTATATCATTCACATTGGTCTTCTGTTCATATTCCTTATAGATGTGAGCCTCTCTCACGTATATATCCTCTTTGCCGGTCCTGTCCTCTGACCGTGTATCGTATTCCCCCAAGCGAACGATGCTAATAAAGGCAATATATATATATAACAGTATGTTAAGTACCGAGAAATATCACTTACATGTTTAGTTTATCAAAAACGCAGTGAGCTGCAGTCAGAACGAAACCTATAAAAGATTCTTTGATTAGTTTGTGAGTCACAGAACTAATAGCAAGAGTGCCTACTTTCGTGAATCAGTGTGCCAGCGCAAAAGAATGTTGGAGGCTCAAATTCATTGCCTTTAGTTAAGAGTAGGGCCATCCAGGGATTGGAACCAATAATCGCATTCTTGCCATTGAATATTTTTGGAGAAATATCGGAGCCAATCCCACAATTCTCCTCCAGGAGCTCAGCGAAACCCTGGTCTTGCAAAAGCAACCCAAGGAAAACATGAAGAAATAAGACGACAGTCGTCATTCCGATTGAAGAGATGCGAATCAACTGAAAACAGCCCCAGAGAGCGATACACAAATTAAAGCCAGTCTCAGCTTATCAGTGAGTTGAAATTTTTATTCCAGGAATTACTGTATTATCTATTCAAAAAGATTAAGAATTTCTTTAAATCTTTTGTCGTACAACAACAATACAACATTTGTAGCATTTTTGTATGACCTCCAAATAGTATTTATATTTGTAAAAATGGTTTAAAGGCTTAGCCATATACCAATTCAGATATATCATAAAATATCAGAGATATCATTCAGTTATCATGACTTCATGGTGATGTTTTTTTTAACTTGTTGTACATTAGAAGCTATCCAGTTGGTGTAGCTCGCCACGTCCGTGTAAACCCCAGGAGCATCGCAATCAATGGAGCCATAGCTAATGATTCCCATCTGGACAGTACGATTCCTGACGTTGGCGACCACCGGTCCTCCAGAATCACCGGTACAAGGTTCGGGGCCCATCGCACTGTCCGCACAGAATTGTCCGTTCGTTAACTGGATGCCGTCATATTGGCACTTCCTCGAAGGACGCCTCCTCATCTGGATGGTCTTCAACATTTGGCTGGGTCTTCCAGACATTGATGTTGTTCCCCAGCCAAAAGCAGAAAATGTGTTGATATCCTTCAACACAGAAGCGGCACCATTCATTAAGATGCAGATGGGTCGAATGCGATCTGGGAAGCAAGTTAATATTTAACATTCTCCTTCGATATACATATATAGAAATATATAACTTACCGGTGTAGGTTACTTCAGTGTGGAGTTTCAGCAGTGCTATATCATTAGGTCCTGGCTGCTCTATATAATCACGATGCACTATGGAGCGGATTACATTGAAGTTCATCACACCATTGACATGGCTTCTATTCCTGACTCCCAGTTGGACGAATCTTAATCAAAATAATAAGATTGTTTAAACTTGGATCTTAATCTTAATTTTAGTGTGGTACTTACAATCGAATCTTATCAGATATGCATTCCGCAGATGTCAGCACAAAGTCTGCAAGTGGCAAAAGTTATTTCAGAATATATTTTTTATTAATGAAGCTAAGAAATGTAATAATCACTTTTGGTAATCAACGTGCCGCCGCATAAAAATCCATGTTCGCAGTTTATTGCGGCCATCCAAGGAGTGGTGGTTCGTCCGCCTTGATTCTGAATCCTTTCGCAATTATCGTCCAAAAATAGTGCTGATCCTGTGTGCCAGAACAGCAGCTCGAACAGAGCGAGAGACAGCAAAAGGCACTTCATTTTGAGGGGAAAGACGTACAATGACTGATAATACAGCTTTTCGATGGGGTTTTAAATAATAAATTTGACTGCAGAATCCATCCTCTAGAGTTCCCAGTATTTATATATACATATATATTTTTTTAACATCATGTTTCTATAAATCAAGCTGAGGTTGGCACCGATAAGCTTAAATAGTTCACAAAAGTTCATAAGAATTTAATCGAAAATGCAATAAATATTCCCTGGCTATTGACTGTTTACATAGAATTTCTATGATAGAAATTCACAAGAATAAATATAAACTGTACTATATATATATATATATATATATGAATTACTTTATATTTACCTTACATAATTGCCAGAATACTTTTATTTACAAATAAAAATTAGTAAACTAATTTTTACTTGGGTGAACATTGGGAGAACATTATGATTCAAAATAATATTCCCCCCCCAAAACCTTAATTATAAAAAGGTCTTTAGTTAATATATATATATAAATAGAAATATATATTTTTAAATATAATTTTAATTATTCTTGTTTACTTGATTATTACAAATTAAAGTATTATTTTTTAACAAAACCAGTGCAAGCAGTTGTCTGTTTGTCCTAAATTAAAAATGTCCTTAATATAGCGCCACCTATGTATATTGGTTTTAATCTAACAGAGAGCCCCAGCAGGGGCGCCACTGTGCTTTTTTTTTTCTTTACTTACTTTACTTTACTTTACCTTACTTTACTTTACTTTACACACAGTGGTGGTCACAAGTGTTACATATTTCAACAATTTTCAGTTTTTATTATTTAGATACCCTTTCCTGGGTATTATATTTTTATTCAGATGCTTGCTAGGCAGTAAAGGAATAATTTGCGACCCTATATATCACATATATTCTTGATCAGCATCAACTACCGAGTCAATCTAGATATTTCAGGAAGAAATTTTCAAAATTTTATAAGGGGTTACATCGTTAAAATTGTCAAAAATGTTATTTTTTTTACATTTTAAATGAAGTATGCAGATTTATTAGCCTTATAAAAACGAACGGGACAGCTTTCCGAAATAATATTAATGTTTTTTTAGCTAAGTTTTAAACTTTGAAATTGTCAAATAAAAAGATATATAATATTGACTCAAAAAATGTATTATGTTGTATTATAGTTTTAGTCAGATGCTTGTAACGCTGTGAAGGAGTCATTTCCGACCCCATAAATCATATATATTCTTGATCAGCTTCAACAGGCGAATCTTTCTAGGCATGTGGGAAAGATAATACATTTTTTCAAATTTTTATAAGGGGTTATATGCAGATTTATTAGCTCAATAAAAACTTGCTTGGGACAGCTTTCCGAATTAAAATTAATGCTTTTTTGGCTTAGTTATGAATTTTTTAAAAATTTATGTGTGGAAAAAATTACTATTATAAATAGGTGATAAGAGTGAAAATATGAAATGTACAAAAATGATTTCCTGTGATTTCACAAATTCCATTTGTATTACGGAAGCTCACGTGGCTTTGCCTGCCATAAAACCCATCATGATTCACCTGACAGATCGATGGACTACTTACTGCCTGCCGCCACTTGTCAACAGGAAGGATAACCGTTATGAAGGAACCGAGGATGAATACGAAGGGCACGTGGCCAGCAGGACATGGCGATAAGGGGCGCAAACAATTTGACAATTTAATGTGGCGACAATCATCAAGCTGAAGCTCTCTGAGCCTGTAAGGACTCGGGCTCAGCTGAAATTGAAGCTCGAACCGAGACTTGTCGTGTGTCGTCCCCGCTGACAACATTAGCAGAGGAGTGAGCGCGTAGCGAGGCTATAATTATAATTCCATTACCGGGGAGCAGCAGCAGCAGCAGCCGAATGCAACAGGGTAAGTTAAGGTGCCGCAACCTAACCGATCCTGCGATCCTGCGATCCTGCGCCGAGATCCTGGCCAAGTCAAAGACAATTGAGTGGCGTAATTGCCGAGCCGAGCAAACTAATGATGGCCAAGGATAATGCGGGCCGCCGGGCCGTGTTAATGCGCCTGGCCAGAACGAGGAGCGCGCGCCGAACTGGCTGACGAGCAGGTGAATCGCTAGGTAGGTGACCTGCCCCATGCGGAAGTACGCGCATTTCGCCCAATTCGCAGCGCAGCGCATCCGATCCGATCCGCATTTGATGGAATGTCCGAAACGCTTACTTCCTCCGCCGCCACCAAGTACTGCCAATTAGGATGCCGCACTGATGCAGCTGCCCCACAGTTTCTATAAACCAGGTTCGAGGCAACTTTAACTGCATTTTATGGGTCGCCAGGTGAGGTCGACGCGCATTCAGCGATAAGAGTCTCCCAATTAACTGCGTCGCCTGGCGGAGGTGGTGGAGCCGAGATTCGTGATCCGTCCGGGATGCTCATTTGCATGATGCTCTTTTGGCGGCGAAAATCAGCCCAGCGGGGGATGGTGCGATGTCCCAGGAGAAGCAGTGGTGCCTCTGCTCCTTAAAAAAAAACCTAACATTACTTTGAATAGGGAGTTTAAACCAAGGAGTTTAATTGCAATTAACTCGGATTTAAGTTCTCTTTAATGCGTGGGTAAATTGCTTTAGTTATTTATTATATTATTTTTATATTTTATTAAGTTGTTAGTTAGAATGTGATCATTGTGATCTTTGCACAGCTTTCACAGGCGGCTTTTGCTAGGGATAAAGAGCTTAAATCTCTTGAGATTTATGAACATATGTTTTAGTAACATTATTTTAATTGTTTTAAAATCTTCAGTTTAGCTATTTCAAGGGTTTTAGCTTACAGTATTCATACAAACATTAAACATTTCAAAATCATTATCATGAATATAACTTAAAATCTAAATAAAAGAATCTATTAATACTTTTTTTTATAAGTTCAAAACAGAGAACTGTCTCGAAAGCGACCTATAAAGATGGACTACCCTGCTCAAGGAGACCTGCCCAGGGAGTCTTCAAGCATGATATCCATCAATGTGTGGCGTGTTTGGCTCCTGTAAGTTGTTAACTCGACTTTTATTGCCTCTCAGTCGGCGTCTGGACCACCGAAGGGTCATTGGCTTGACTCTGGCGATCGATCCGGCCATCGATCAATGGTCTTTCGCGAAAGAGCCCTCGAGTTAGCCCCTTTGGTTGGTTCACACCCGGTTCGAGTTCATTTCCGCCCCTGTGGCCAATCAATGGACACAATAAAGGTTAATTATGTAAATGTCACACAGTGGCTACTGTCCCCAGCATCAATATCCATTTCCATTTCCATTTCCCACTTCGATTTGGATTCCCATTCCCACTGTCTTTGCTATTATTCCTAAACCGATTCCAAAACGCGCTCAAAACTCACAATTTAATGGTCTCGAAACGTTTCAATTTTTATTAGTTCACATTGGGTCCTAACCTGTTGTCGGGAGCGTTCTAAATGAGAACATAACTGCTTCTGTTGCCACCGCCAATTAACCCTTCGTTTTCCCCCCGCTCCCGAGTCGGCTTTTTACGGTTTAATTGTGCCCACGGCCAGAGACAAAACAGAGAAATCAATCTCGAAATGCGTTGACAAGTGGGGCCAAGATCGGTGTAGAGAGATGTGGCGAGGAGAGTCACCCCGGACCCCGAAGGTGCATTTAAGTGCACCTTTAGGAAATTAACCATAAAAAATTGCTTCATTTAACAAGGCGGCGAGGAGCGCGGCACTAACAAAAAAAAAAAACCAGCCCAGACAATGTCCCAACGCAGGCACAAGAAGCCAAATGCCAAAGGCAGCCTTTTGGAGTGGGAAACCCAAAAGTGAAGCTGGGTCACACATCTTCGGGCTTGGACTCGAGAGAGGTTTAGGCCAAAGGTTTTGGCCTAGAAAGCGGAAGCTTCCCAAGAGGGGAAGGAAGTCAACTAGCAACGGAAGATTCGGGGTCGTAAATGCAGCTCAAGAAATGGTTATGAGTCTTCAAAGGAAAATATGAGTATTTAACATACTCTTACTTCAATATTATATTAATAATGAGGGAATATTTTTGAATTATTATAACCTTACATAGTAACAGGTTAGAAGCTTAACCTTAGAGATATTACTAGACAAGATTGTTGCCTTTTTCATGATCTTTTAAGCACACTTGTATTTCTCTGCTGGTTAAACTCCTTATAAAGTCTGCGACTTTTCCCCTCAACCATCATAATCCATGGAGTTTCTCATCCTAATTGAATGCCATTAATTGCGGTGCATGCTGCTGTCATCAGACATCAGTGCATCCATTACCATCATCCCCCCATATATATATATATATATAGACTGGACAAATCCGCATCCGATTCCCAGCCCCAATGTCGTTTGCTGCAATGTCAAACATTTGGATCTGCTAATCGCGTAAAACATAACACCATTACCGCCATAAAATAAATTTTCTGCCATAATATCTGTCGCAGAGAGAAGGACCACGAAGACGACATCTTGTGTCCCATTCCGTGGCCAAGTCTGCGTCTCCTTCTGTGTCCGCATCCAAGTCTTCGTCCTCGTCCAATTTCCAATGCCCCAACTGGATTTTGATTTATGCCGAAATCGCAAAGTGACCACTGCAAAAAAAAAAAAAACCAAAAACACAAATCAAACGCAACAGCGCGACGAAACATTGCAACAATCCATGCCAGCTCTCCGGCAGCTTTCCTCAAGCTATGTCTCTGGCTCTGACTCCAGTGGCTTTCAGTAGCTCCTAACCGCTGCTGGCTAACAAGAGGAGCCGGGTTTACAAACAAACAAAAAAAAGAGGCCTAAAGGCGAGCGCGAAATCCAAACGCTAGCGGCGCGCGCGTTTTTTGTCGCGCCAAATGTGCCCAGCAAAAACGCGTCTCTCTGCCACCGCCGCCTCATTGATATTTCGATCGCGAGCGTATAAAAATATTCTGTCTTTCCCGATCCCGAGATCCCGATGCTCGATGTGCGATGTGCGATGTGCGATGTGCGATGTGCTATGCCCGATCCCGATTCCCATTCCGATTCTGAATCTGATTCCAATCCTGGCCTGGCCTAAAAGTGTCGCCCGAGCGGGATCGTAGCTGCGATCAGCAGAAAGTATCGTCATCCTCATCATCATCGTCGATGGGCGAACCAAAAGAGCCCTTCATCAGAGCACTGAGAAAAAGAAGGTGTTTATGATTATGAGATAAAATATATTAGAGCAACATCTCTTCTTTATAATATCTTATTATGATTACTAGTATTAGTTCTATATTAATGTTTAGGTTGCTTAATATATATTATATAAATTATAGGTTTCTTTGTACTGTCTCGTTTTCTTTGAATATACCCCCTTGAGTTATCATAATTTATTATATAGTTAGCTTATTATTAATTTATTTATTTAGACTATAGCTTGATTTTTCCGTGTGTTCAAGTTTTTGTGTAATGCTCTCAGAGGCTGTCAGTCATAGTCATGCCAGGGCATTCCAATCTGGCCATGATCAGGAGGCTTCTGCCATCGATTCCCCGGCAGATTCAGGCCCAGGCTCTGCATTCCTCACCGTCAGTTTTCTTGCGCGCATCCTCAACGCCTTTTAGCATTGTTTATGAAGTGGAGTGGAGTGGAGTGGCAAGGAGCAAGGAGCAAGGAGGCATTGGCCAGGATGCGGAATCGCGGCCTGCACGTGATACAATTATGGCAGCGCCTTTTTTCCAAATATATATATATATTTTTGTTGTGTTTTTGCAAGCTTTGCATAATTTAACCGCGCGCAATTGTCGCGGCAATTATTTTTAGCCACTGATTTATTGTTGGCATATTCAGAGTAGCCACTATCTTTGAGTATCTGTAAGGTCTTGGGAAAGTTTCTCGCAACTTCACACCTTCTTGGCCCGAGATGGAGCGATGCCGAGCAGCTCCCCAGGCGGCCAGCCTCCTGCGTTTCATCCATCTCCATCACCTGCTTACGAATTCCACTCACAATGTCAGCCGCCACACCATGCCGATTCCAATGCCATTTTCGCACTTCCAGTTGCAGTTTCAGTTGCAGTTGCAGAAGAAGCTCCCAGAGTTGCAGTTGCAGCCATTGTCGCCTCTGCCTCGGACTCGAACTTGGTGCACCACCGTCTCAACCCTCGCTCCTCCGCGGGCGATCGATAGTTATGGTCGTGTCAGACATCCTGTAATTTCGCTACACAGACCTCCCTCCAGCCAAACCTCCATCCCAATCCTCCAGCGTGTTGGCAACTTGTTGACACTTCATTGGCGCGCAAGTTAATTAAGAGGGAGAAGCCGCAGATACCAAGGACCACCGGAGGTGGAAAACACTTTATTTTGTGGCATTTAAATAGTTCGCTTTTGAGCTGAATACAAGGGTTTTCACAATAATGAAATGTTTGGAAATTAATTTACTTGTAAATAACCCTTTATGCTTCAGTCAATTACTTAATTTTGAAATAATGTTTGAGGAAAACAAGGAATTACATTAATTTTGAGGCAGGAAATGCAGGGGAATAACTTCTTATAAGAAAAGTTGTTACTTTATAACCCAATTTCCATTTTCCTTAAACCCCACATCAAAAAAATCTCTTCATTTACTCAGCACAATACTTGGTTTTTATTTAAATATTTGTATGTAAATTTATGTAGAACCCCTTTTCACCAATACGAATCGCAGTCCTTATTGTTGAAAAAGGGAATTAATACAATTTCACGTTTCTCTATTACAATTAGTAATATTTTCATTTAGATTAAAAGTATTTCATAGGAGATCCAGTTGTGGAAGGAAAGTAGTTTTAGTGAAATTCTATGGATTCCGACTTTGAGAAGAGATTGGGATAACACTAAATAGCTATATATATACACAGATCAAAACTGGGACAGTTGGTTAATGCTGGGTGGATTCAGTTGACCACCTCAACGCTGCAATCCTCCTCCTCCTCCTCCTCGTCCTCCGGCTCCTGTTCCTCTCCCTCGACTGGGTCCTCATCATCGGGAATCTCCAGTGGCAGGGGAGCTGGACTGTCCTGGCTGCTTTCGCAAGAACTCGACTCCAGGCACTCCAGCCGGTTGCTGCTGTCCAAGCGTAGACGCTTCTCCGGCTTCTTGAGCAGTTCTTCGATGGAGTACGGATTCCGCTTGCGACTGTGACTCAGTGTTGATCCAGGAGAGGCTTCTGGCGCTGAGCTAGCGCCATTTGCTCCACCCGAGGCGGTCAACGAGAGAGCTGCTGGTGAGGATTTGCCCGAATCGCAATCGCTGAGCGCATCTCCAGCAGCTCCGGGTGTCGAGAGATCGATGGAGCTCTCCGACTTGGTAAAGCCACCACCACCACCACCGCCGCCGCTTCCCGAGGCAGAAGATGCAGCCGCCGCTGCCATGGCATGGGGCAGGTAGCCACCAGCATAGGGCAGGAACTGACCACCGGAAGCAGCTGCCTGAGCCTGGATATGCGCCTGGGTGTAGTACAGCAGGGAGGGATTCCACAGCCAGTGCTTGTGCAGAGCAGAGTAACTCAGATCTAGACCGGAAACACTAGGATTCAGGCTGTGACCATGTCCATGCCCGTGTCCCATATTTGGGGGCATTTTCGGAGCGGGTTTGATGGGCATCTCGCCGGCGCCGGCGCCAGCGCCGGAACCCATCATCAACGCCGGCGGCTTTGCATAACGTGTCGAGGTGGGCGTGGCGACCGGCGTGGATGGAGTGGCCAAAGTCACAGGCGGAGGCGGAGCTTGTGGGGCATAGCCATTATTGGATGGACCGTTGCTGCCCGCTGCCGCCGCTTGATGATGATGAGACGCCGCTGCAGCCGCCGCGGTTGCTGCTGCTGCAGCTGCCGCTGCGGCATTCTGCTGACTGGAGGTCATCTCATCCGTCCAGAGACCACTGTTGCGCAGGATCCGGTTGATGGAACTGATTGAGGGCACCGAACTGGGATCACAGACACGCTGCTGCTGCAGTTGCTCCCGGATCTCCCAGGCGAACATGCCGCTGTTCTCCTCCTTCAGCCGGATGATTTTCTTTACCACAGTGGGCGTGGCCACTTGCTGGAAGATAAAGGGAAACACAGGGGGGAGGATTTCAATAAAAATGTGTGCGTAAAACCTTGAATTTACAAAGCTTAAAGTAAGACTTATTTCATTCATCTCACATATTCTTCAAAGTTATTTAATATGTGTTAAGAAACATGGCTTTATTTAATCAGTAATCTTTTTATAGAATTTGAAACCAAGGAATAGACAAAATTAATTCTGAATTCTGAAACAACTTTTGATCTCCAATTCGTACTAAAGTTAATAAATTAAATAAAGTTAATTAAGTTTTTCGTGAAGTAAACTTCAAGAAAAACACTTTTCGAATGCTATACCTGCATATACTTCAGTCTTGATTTAGGTATACTATTTCGTATAGTTTTCTCCTCAAAGAAATAAAGTTCCAACAAGAAAGATCAATATATTCCCCAGAACCAGAATAATTAACCTTTGTTTCTGACTTTAAACAAATACCTTGACAACATATTCATGATAAACCTGGTTAAATGCATTCCTGCGATTAAAATAACCAACACTGTTCTCTTGTAAATCCCCGCTGTAAAATGTGGTCTCTAGTTTCCCTTCCGACGATTAATTACCGTGAAATTCAATTGTGCAGTAAACTAAACTAAACCAAAACGCTCACTGAGCGTTAGTCTGTGAAGTGAATTTTGCAGTGCACGCAGCCACGCCCCTTTTGAGCTGACATGTTCATGAAAAGATTTGCATCGGAACCCAGGAAGTCCAGAGTCCTTTCCTCCCCCTTTTGGCATATGTTAATTTGACCGAATATTCTAAAGGACCTGGACTGGCGCCCGCTTCTCACGTGTGACGCGGCAATTCATTAAAAATTCATAAATACGCTAAAAGGGGGTTTAAGTGGTGGGGATCCCACCCACTCCCCTTTCCGCGTTGCATGCCAGATCTTATCGGAAATCTACACGCGCACTCACCCTGTCCTTGTGAGCACATTCAATATAGTATGTAGCATGTAGTATGTAGTAATATGTAGTTCAGGTGGCAAACCTCTTTATTGACCCAGCGTAGGTGTTAAATGCGCGTTTTGTTCGGTGCACGGAGCGCCTATTGTGGCTGTGGGTTGGAACAACAACAAGCTAGCTATTACTATATATTCCAACCCCATCCAGGGATGAGTGTCTGGGTACATTGTGCACTTGGTGGGGCGTTGCAACTACCGTTAATTAGGCGTTCTGTGCCGTCGGCAAACATAACACCTGAGCAATTGTTTGCGCAGGTTAACCAAAAAAAAAAACAATGTATTAACATATATGGAGGATGGGAAGTTGGAAATACCCTGTGAATAATTTGTTATTCTTATATATGAATACTATTTTGAAGTTGCACTCTACTATACATAGATGTCTTGATTTAAGTCTTAGAAGCAGACAAGTTTATCAAACTCTAATTTCCTGTAGTAAATTGCTTTACTGATTTAGTTCAAAGTATTATATCATATAGGGATTTTAAGTAATTGATATAAAATCAAAAATAAAATCCATGAAAAACATATGCTTCAGAATCTATAATATATATTAAATATATTAAACCTCTATTTCCATAGCAAACTTTCCTTGAAGGATTCTCTTTAACCCTTTAACTAATACCCTTTTTGATAGCTAACTCTAATAGGTATTGGGTCGTGATTCGGTGTTATCTGTAGGCTCCTGGTGATCCCTTTTACCCACCTATCAAACACTATCATCGTGGCATTGTCGTCACTTGTGTGTTGCCGTGAAGCGAGCAGCGGCTTAAACGGTAGCAGCCACACTTGATTGGGCGTGCGAATTGCACAGGTGTCCCCCTATTATCCATCCAACCCCGTCCAGGTACCATCCGCAGTTATCATTCTCGAACAGGCGAGATTGATTTGTTGCGCTCTCTCCACTTGAACAGCCACTGTTGCTCATACTCCTCCTCCGTCTCCTAGTAACTGCTCCACTGCTGGTTCCACCTCCAGCTCCACCTGCCTGCCTGCCTGCCACTCCCACTCGACCATAAAAGCTGTCATCGAGACATTGGGAGGAACATGTAAACTAGCTGCCGCTTACAATGCTTATCTTGGGCTATCTGTTTCCGTGTATCTGTGATACTTTATGGATTTACTGCTGTGCGTTTGATTTTTATATAATCGTTTGTTGATTTCATGCACCACATTGGACCACATGTGGTTTCCCGTCACCGGGATCTGGTTTCTCTTTCCCTGCCCCCACTGGGACCCTTTTGGGACACCCACTTACCTTGGTCTTGCTGCCGCCTATAGAACCTGGTCGTATGGAGCCCGTCTCATAGAATCGCGTCAGGATTTTAGATACGCAACCTAGCAAAGGAACAAAAAGAGGTAGGGTTTAAAAGGGAGTAAGGAAGGGAGGAGGTTGTGGAAGAACTCACCATGGGACACCAGAAGCTGGCGGGATATATCACAAGGCCTCACGCCGCACAAGGCCAGATCCACGATCCGGCGACGTACGCAGTCTGGGAGAGGACGGCCGTTCACAAAAACTCCACCCAATTGGTTGACACCAGCTTGTCCTGGGAAAGGGAATAAGATAAATAAGGATTGAAATTAGTTGTTTTTAAATAAATTTGTTATATATTTTAAAGAAGAGTGCGTTAAGAATAAGTCTATTGATAGAATGCAACTTCATTTACTAGAAATGTGAGCCTCTATCATATAAAGACTTTTATTGTAAAAAGTATAGCCTACTTAGTGGTGTATTGCTGCTCTATAAGAAGTCTGCTTAATGAACTAAGTGATTTTAAACCTTTAAAGGGTTCGAAATATCTCTAAAACCCTAACTATAGTTTTTATTTTATAAACTAAATATGAAACTATGCTAAAAAGAATGAAAAGTAATCAAAAACTGCTTGACTTCATATATTTCCATTATTAGTTTGTCCAGACAAATATTTGTAGCTCATCCAAGTCACCTAAGCTGGCTCCATAAAGCTGAGAAATCCGGGAAGATTTACAATATACACACGCGAATGGGCCACAAACCCCATAGTCCATTCCATGTTGACTTGTCTAATCTCTCCACCACCTGCCCTGCCCCCTTACCTCAACCCAAACTGACAATCGTAAAGGCAGGCGGCAAAAGTGCGCCAGTAATAAGCACCAGCGTGGCTTTGTTTGGGTTTCGGATTTAAGTTTTTTGGAAGGCTCCTACGATGGCATCTCCGGCATCTCATTTAATTTTCACTTCAGAGTTCATTAGCGGGACTCACCTGTATGCGGCATGGCTGAAATGTGATCAACAATTCAATTCAGTCCAGTCCAATCCGAAAGTGATTCGATCCGATCCGATCGCTTAGTCGCTTAGCCTCCGTAAAGTATTTTGGTTTGGTTTAGTTGCTGCTGCTGCTGCTGCTGTGCCTCTCCGCTCGCCTCCTCAATCTTCAGTTGCTTCTGCCGCTTAGTTAATCGCTGAATTTTAATCAAATTTCAAGCAAGAACGCCATAAAAACGCTTTTGATGGATGTCGTCGTGGTCGCCGGGCTATTAGGATGCTCAGCTTCAAACCGAGACTGATACTGAGTCTCAGTCTGAGCCCACTCCCCGAAGACTTTTTACGGCTTCCACGAAATCGTCGTCGTCTCCCCGTCCAGGCCTGGCCAGAACCGATCCGATCCGAACCGAACACCGTGCGGGACAGTGGAAATCTAGTAAGGAAAATACATAAAACTTAATTATTTTATAAAACTACTCGGCCGGGGGTTTAATGTGCAGTGGTTTATGTGCTCAATGGCCATGTCCAGTGACCGGTGACCACTGACCAGTGACCAGTGACCAGTGACCAGTGACTAGTATCTCAAATTAGCTGCTTATCAGGCACATTCCCGGCGCAGCGTGAACTGCGGGCCCATTATCGACAAGACCAGGTCCAAAGCCTTTATGTCCCCTCCTCAAGGAGTATGCAAATGTCAAAAGGTAACAATTAAAATGAATTTTGGCCAATTGCTCATTTCGTTAAATATGCAGAGGGATTGAGAGAGCAAGAGATATGCAAATGGGCTTTCAGCAGGGTGGTTTCCGCTTCCTGTCCATTTTCCCCAATTTTTTTTTTTTTTTATTTTTGGCCAGGATTTGGGCCTGTCGCCAGCCTGTCAGAGGCATGAAAACGCGCTGAAGAACCGTATAAATCAAAAACTGTAACTGCCAACGCCAGCAACGAAGGTCCACACTTTGTCATGGCCATGTTATTATGGAATTCACATTAGATTTAATTGCCGAGCCCAAACAGTCCTGGGTCCTAGTCCTTTTTGGTTTGGTTTTTTTTTTCGGCTCCCTGCCACTTTTCAGCCCATAAAATCACCGAAATGCGCGTGTTAAGCCACCGAAAACACCGCACGCACCACATACTCCCTCCCATTTGAACAAAAAACTAAATACGGAACGAGAAAAACAGAAAAAGAACTTGAAATTAAGTTGTTCATTAGGTTTTTTCGGCTCTCAGTTTGAGTCTCAGCAAACGGGAAACTCGTGCTGGCCGTTAAGGCCATAAACCCAAGTTGGCCTGGGGCCAAAACTTTAACCGGCAGCGCGATAAGGATTCCATTCCATCAAGTTTTGTAGAAAGTGAAATAGACATTCCGGCCGAAAGAAACCAATTTGGTTGCAATGAAAAGGGTTAATTTACCCGCTGGCGTGCTGCTTGACCATTTCGCTAAAATACTTTTTCTCTAGCTCTATGTGATTTTATCCCAAGACCAATTGAGGCCAGTGACCAATATCAAACTAAATAGTTCCGGGGCTATAGTTAGCCCCGGAAAGTGGTGCAAAATACAACTCTTTTCAACTTTTGGTTTCATCCAATCAGGAGATTAGGAGAGAGATTAGAGTTAGGACAAAACTTCCTTTTTGAATGGGTTATTTGATATGGTTACAGGAGTGAGGGTTCTATAATTAGTTAATTTCTGCTGAACAGGTTATATTTTCAATGAGGTAACGAAAGTAACCAAGGAATAATATATAGGGGAAAGTAATATATTGTGCTTGAACGAAATTTTTTAAAAAGAAACTACTGTCAGGAGTTAAGAGCAATGTTTTAGATATATTGTTAATCTAAAGGTGTTGCAGTTTAAGATACTATTTTGATTTAGAAATCTTATAAATCCAAGAAACTTTAGAACAAACTATAATACTCACACAATTTGTTCAAGCTCATTTCCACCTGTATACTAATTATGATACTTAAAAACAAAAGTATTAAAAACTCTCCGCTCTTTTAACAGACCTTAAACAAATCAAAATACCCAGCAATTTGCTCTCCAACTTCAACTGCTACCAGATTTTATTCTCTTAAACATATATATAAGGTTTACTGGCTGGAAAGTTATATTTTTAGAGATATGGCTAATCTCGGTCTCTCAAAGTCATTCAGGTTTTTAGGGGTTAGATATATGGTATGGTTTGGGCTACCGATTTCTCTATTCGACTCGTAAGTCTCAATTAGGTTCGTGCACATGTCAAGCGGAACAGACATAAAAACCGATGATAGAAATTAGTTAAACATATAATAATTTAAATTCGTGCGATTACCGAAAGTGGAACCGACATGTTGGGCGAGCTTCTGTTTCGGATCCCGATTCCTCTCCCTTTTTCTGTATTTTTTTTCTTCTTTATGAGAGGCCCCCTATCGATCGATAGCCAGATCGAGCTGGGGCATTAACAGCCGCTAATTAAAATAAAAAAATTATAATAAAACGTACGCTTCACCATTTGAATATGATTAGCTCTCATCGGTTTGCCTTTCTGGACCAAAACTTAAGTAAGTTGTCCGGCGGCTCGTTGGCTTAGAAAGCTTCGAAATCAATGAGCCATAATGGCAGCCAGAAGAGACGACGATCGGCATGACAAAGAATTAATTAGCATACGATTTTTGACTTTTGTCGCTTTGCTCTAGAGTCGTGGGAAAACTGAGACAAACTCTGTCAACGATCGATCTCCGGAGTCGGAATCTATTGTAGTATGACTTATCTCAGTCACTCCGGCGGAAGTTCAATTGGCCATAGTTTTGCATTGCAAATTTCTGGCAAAGCAATCCGGTGGATTGAGCTAACCAACCGGTGGCATTTTCCACTTCCATTCACAACCAATCTGGGGACAAACACAAAAATCTCGGGCGAAACTAACGCCGCCGCTTGAATGGAGGAGAAGATTGCCTCGTTCCGTTCCGATCCGTTAGATCGTCGTTCATTAAGAAATAAGCCCATTGAATGGGGGGTATCGAGGGGGCTTATATCGAGACCTGAGACCTCAGAGCGATGTGTCGGAGACGATAAGCAAATATCGTTATTAAAGCCTTTCAAATAATGCCGCAACCTGCTCGGCCAGCGATTCGGATTTAATGATTTAGTTGTTGAGAAAGCAAATTATGCGCAAACAAATTGATTACGATCGTTTATGGTGGTCATTATGGGCAGGTCGATCGATGCGAAGCGATGGTTAGATCTTAATTAAGTCACCCATAAGTCAACGACGATGGCTTTTGTCAATTTTAGGAATAATACAAGTAATTCGGGGGATAATATAATATATTGTTAACAAAGTAAAGCAGTATAGTTTGCTGAATCGATATGTGAGTGCAATCCACTTTAAATATTGGCTTATCTGGTCTTGAAAATATATACATAGATAATACATGTTTGGAAATCAATATTGCTCTAGTTATTAGCTAAAAGGTTTTACTTTAGGAAAAAGACTTTTAATCTAGTAAAGATGGTTTTTTGGCACTTTTTTCTGTGTTGTGTTGATGTAACATTCTTTTTGAAATAAGTAAAGAATTTTAGGTGATTATTTGTTCTTTTTATCCCCTTATAATAATTAGTTTAGGGATATTTGTGTCTTTAGAATTAAATGCACCAAGAACTTATTTAAAAAATACTTTTAGGAACAAGTAATATAAGAAAGAATACTTATCGGTTAGATAAGGGATATATTTTTGTTTATTTTAATCCATTAATTAGTTGTAATTTATTACATGACATTGGTTGCTCTAGCTTAAAGCGAAATTTACCTACAAATTTGTTTCAATTGAATTAAATTAATTATTTAAAGACTTTTAACAGGTAATGGATAATTTGAGGTACATGCCACTGATCAAGGTTTTATAGAAACTTAGTTCCAATTTTTGCCCAAGACTATCCAAAACTCACCTTTTTTCCTTTATAAAGTTTTGTTTAATATAATAACTTAGCACAGTCTTAGCCAGTAAACGCCGGCTATCCACAAATGTGGCTAAAAACCGAATCCTTCAAGCACTTTAAGCACTAAACACTTTCCGCTTGAGTTTTTGAATGCACAGTGGGATTTATACCGCGGATATTGACTGTTTATTCAGTTCAGAAGCTCGACGGTAGGCTGAGCTATCTTTTAGTTTAGTTGTTTATATAGTTTAGTTGTTATATATTTTTTGTAAGAGTTTGCGACGCGACGCACCTTGTCACTCGACCGTCAAAAATTCGACTAAATGCACGCGAATCGCTCTGCCGGCGCATCGATCACCTTTCGGTTGGGTTTACTTTGCTTGGCTGGGGAGTTGGCTTCGTGCCTCGCCCGCGGTCCATCGGCCAGCGTTTCCTACTGAGGCGCCGCAGAGCGAAGCCGCCACACCATACAAACACACATAATCTTCCATACACACACTCGCATACACACTCACACACCCCGACACACTCTTTCACGGGCGTTTTTCTGGTGTAACCGGTTTTTCACGGCTTCAACGTCTAAAGGCAGTTCCAGCCCCATTTGTCCCACTGTCCACCAATGGGCGACGGCCTTCGTTGCGCATGCGTTGTTCGCTGTTGCGATGCTCGTCTGTCATTGGTCGAGAGTTACCCGTGTGGCGAGGGGGGGGGGCCAGGTGAGGTGTCCTCTGGAAGCGAAATTGACACGGCCACCGTGGGTTAAATGCGACGATGACGAAAGAAGCTATAAAGTAGTTTTCTTTTGTGGTTGCTTAACGGTAGAGGAGTTTATAGATATTAGGAAATATTTGAGTTTCTTTAACTGTCTGTTATAATTTTTTCTTACAGTTTCCTCTGTGTTGGATTTGTTATTTTGTTTTTAGTTAAAGAGTTATTTATTTTACTTAACTTAGTTGGAAATAACAAATGAATATCTTTCTTTGACTATCTTAGTTTATTCTTGGTATTAAAGACAGCCACAATTATCTACCTTTAGGCACCTTTAAAAGGTAGAAGGAATCATTTCCGACCCTATAAATCATATATATTCTTGATCAGCATCAAAAGCTGAGTTGATCTGGCTATCT